GAAGCCTTTGTGGCACTAGGGTAATCATAATGGTGATGATGAACTAAAACATCGAACTCCTAATGTAATGAATTTATCCAGATACTTGATAACCACACTAGACAGTGTTAAGATTTACCCTGAAGATGGCGAGTCTATTTCTTACATAATTCATGAAGCACCTAGTTACACCTAGCAACGATTATTCTTAAATATCCTTGAAGAAGGGCTATACATCCTCACACTTTTTTATATAAATATGAGCAAAGGGAAGTACCAAAAGTCATTTGCATTAAACCCACTTAAAATATTGTTCGCATTTAACCCTTCTTGAAATATTTGAAGGTTATGCAACTAATAGAAGGGTATGTCTAGTCTCTAAAATTGGAAGTGACTTAGAAAATTCTTCTGAAGTGGAATTCTACTGAACTAAAGAAAAAAAATCATCACACACCACATCATTTTTGCTTATGATTTTACCATATTCATAAACATTTGGCCATTTATATCTGTTTTTTCTCACTTTACTTTTTTATATTTGCAAAATGTAAATTAATAAATTCAATATTTGAGTCTGTAATTACTATTATGCCAACCTACTCATTTTAATTTTTGTAATATTCTCAAAATAATTCTGACTTCTCGGAGGCACATCATTTTTTTTACTTTTTAAAATTTACTCTTTAACGTTTGATTGAATTACCTGACTAGATGGGTCCCATTTGAGTTTAAGGTTTGGAAAATTAGATTAAATTAAAAAAAACTAAACTACAAACTGTAGTCCCATATTTCTGGAGTCAGAGTGAGCTTCACATTGTATTTACTACTCTTTCTGTCTCACTATCTTTGTCTCATCTTTCTTTTTCATCCATCCTACTAAATTTGTGACATACTATTGTAGCATTGTGTGATTCAAATTCGTTCATATTTTACAAAGTCAATATCCCATTACACAAGTCCATGTTTCTTATGATGTGTGCCCCTTCCTCATGTCCAAATATAGTAGGACAAATGTAGTATTTAGTCCATATGTCCCACTATCTTTGTCCCATTCTTCTATTTTTGTTTGTACACTATGTTTATTCCAAACTATATTTGGTAAGTTTGTGTGGTTCAATTTAACTCATAATTTACAAATCCAATGTAAAACACATGTCCACTTTCCTTTATATGTGTGCCATTTTCTTATGTCTCAAAGATAGTGAGATGGAGGTGTTAATATATTATGTACTACCTCCGTCCCATTTATATTGGGACGGAAGAGGGTGGCACAGTTATTAAGAAAAGTGGATTTGTGTGGTTGATATTAATTGGTAAAGTAAGAATAAAGTAAGAATGATTTAGAGCCACACAAACTTTGCCAAATATGGTATGGGACATTGGGACAATTTAAGTGGGACTTCCCGAAAAGGTAAAACGGGACAATATAAATGGGACGGAGGGAGTATATTGTTATTTTCTAATAATTGGGCTTATGGTTATGGTATCTGAAATTGCTGGGTGTGAACTTGCGTGTATCTGGGCTTTCATGAAATGTTATTGTGGTTCTTGAACAACTATCCATACTTTTCAATACTGGCCTCAGTTTCTTTCCTAATTTTTCTTAGCCCATGTTCATAAAGCATTGTTGAAGAATCGATACAAGTTATTCCAGAGATACCTCCAATCTAATAATGATATCCCAGTTTTGATGCCTCTTCTCCCTAGTTGTTTGTAAGGATTCTTCCAGTAGTAGAGATGAACGGCAGTTGTGATTGTACTGCTTAACAAAATGTACATAGACTGCTTTTTTACTGTCAATCACAAAAATTAAAGATGCTAATAGTAATCCCTGAAATCATGTTGATTAGGTTCTTGGTGCCTCGTTCACTTCACTTATAGTTACCTTGATTCTCCCTTGGTGTTGCTCAAGATTGGTATCAATCTATGAACGGTGCATCTATTTAAATTTGACAAGTGACAAGGAACATGTGAGGGTGACAACTACTGTGTGTTTCTTAAATGTTTGACTAGTAGAAATAACCTATGCTTATGATGTTTCTAGAACCTCATCATTAATCTTCCTTCACAAGGTTGGAGGGGTATTTGAGTATTTGATGCTCACCATTGCCAGCACTATGTTTTCTTTTGCATGAATTTGGTGCTAATTTTATGTTGAATTCACACTTTATATTCCATACCACCAATCAGAGCTAGTTGAGATTAAGGTGGTGGTGATCATGATCATTATGACGTTGAGTGCTATTGTGTTCTATGTTTACTCGAAGTGCTTCGTACTTAAGTGAAGTGACCAACTCTTCTGCCTAATGTTTCCCAATTCGATTTAGTTGAATTAGTGCACTTTTGGTTTGGTTTGATGCGTATATATGGAGTTATATGTGGGGTTTCGGTTGCACATGCCAAACTGAATGACACTGAGATCTACTAAACTGCGCATCTTATTTTCCAATGCCATTCATTGGAAAGTATCCCAAGATTCCCCAGTGTTGCAATGCCAATAGTTACTGGTATTATCAAAATAAAGCTGGGAATTTTGAGATGTGTTGTAACTCCAAGGTGTAGTTTCAGTCCAATAGCTATTTATATGGGAGAAATCTTTGCCACTTGATACTTCATTGTTAAAAGTTGCATGCTAATTAAGAAAATAGAATTTGGGGTTCATATTTATTTTTAGAAGAGATGAAAGAATATTAAGCACATAATTCTTTCCTCATGTTTCAAAACTAACTTCAATTTTTAGAGTAATGATTATGAAAATTTAGCCACAGTTTCATCAAGTTCAGACATTTCAACCAAAATCTACTCTCACCAAACAGGCTCATAGTGTTGATTTTCCTTCTAGTCCTCCAAAATTTCACATTTTTTACCTTTCATGTATATGGCCAACTTTGCAAAACTTGCTACCTAGCCGTAATCCAAGTTTACAATCTATTTGTACCTTCAATTGAATTCCTATTTGCATTTCTATGGGTTTTTTTTAGCATATACTCCATAGCTTATAACTGTGTGACTTTCTAGATTGCAAGACATTCAAGGAGACATTCCAAGAGGTTGCAAAGTCTCAGAGTAAGAAAGAGGAAGACAAGGATGCATCTACTGCTGCTGGACTGCTTGAAAAGTTGAGTGTAGAAGACAAGCCAAAAGAAAATGAGGGAAGTGAGGAGCCAGTGAAGAAAGATGGGGATGACAAGGCATCAACTTAGGCAAGAAGGCAGTGTTTGTTTATTGCTGAGGTTTGTCGGGTAATGTGATGAGGGGTATGGTGATATGCTAAACCTATGTGTTACGAGAAGTAGCTTTTCGAGTTTGGGTGAATTCCAATTCATCCTCTGAGTTTTTCTTCAAAGTCTCTTTTAAGGTACTTCGTATGCTGGCTGGTTCAGTGTAAGGTCCCTGTGGGCTATGGCTTCGGATGACATTTTCTTGTTCCGTATGGTATTTTTATTGTTATTATTCCAAAAGAAGAATATTATTTTGCCGTTTGTCCGTGGGATATTTGGAATTGTGGATGGACCTTTACATCTGTAGTATCATATGAATTATGAACAGTGCTAATGGTTAAAAATGAGCTGCAGCTGCTTCTTTCTTGGTCCATGTGCTGCTGTGCATTTGTTTTGTTTATCGATGGAAGGAGACTTAAATCACTTGATGTATCCTTGGCAATCTGGTTTGCTCTACGGATCTTTCCTAGGAAATAATATAGTATCCTGTGGTAAGATGTATGTAGTTTGTAATTTTGTATTCATACAAAATGAGCATGTGTTTTTGCACCATTACCAACAGAGTCTACACACCAATTCTGTGGTTAAAATATTGCTGATGTGGCATTAATTATTACGTTTTCTTTTCACATCAATATTTTCATCCTACTCTTATGACTATGTTAATGTGTGTGTTTTCTATTTTAACACAACTTTTGAATTTATTTTGGAGTTGCTTAACTCAATGGCTCATACAACTCTTTCGCTTCAAATATGTTGTTCCTTACTTCCTTTACCCTTAGGTTATTATTCGCTGCATTTTAATCCCCCAACCAACCCTGTATATATTTAACAGTGTGGTGTAATTGTCTGCATTCTAATATTCTTAAGAATTCCTTGGCACCTTTGATCCCCAGTCAAACGTGATGTCAATTCTAGGCTTCTAGCTACTCAAGCTTTGATGAGAGACCGACCTATTTAAGGCCCCAATAAGTACTTTAGAATTTAGATCCATCCAGGTGATAATTGGTTTAAGCACTTCATAAATCATAAGTAAAAATAAAATGCTCATTTCATTATAGTGTTAGAATAAAAAGTGTCCTTTAATATTTCACATAAGTTAAGAATGCTCATTTCAAACCTGGTTATAGCAAGGTACAAGCAAACATATTAGTAATTGTTACTCAAAAGGCAAATAAGAATCGCCCAACGCCATGAAGTTTCTCCAAAAGCTTGAGAGTACTTTTCCGCTGGGTTCCAATATTAATTGCAAATGAGGTCCAACAAAAAAAATACGGAGTAATACTCTCCGTATTATGTAGTTTTTATGATGAAAAATTGAAAAGGCAGAAAAGCCATCTTATGAGAACAACATTGGCGTTATCATTTATACTACGTACATAGTGGATGTTCAACTTGATTTGGCACGCCTTTCTTTGTGTATGGTTTGGACTTGAACGAGATCCAGAGGCCTTACTTTTTACGGATATGGATCCACATTTAATTCCATTAACCCGATTCAAATTTCTTAGGTTTTTTGGAATTTTTAACGTCAATACTTACAATACTTATAAAGAAAAATATACGAAGTATATTCATAATCATTAGTTACATTCTAGCATTGAATATTTCAAAAAATTTCCAAGGTCCATGACCCTTTTCCGAGACCTATATATTAAAAATGCTATGCTATGGGTGTGTATATGCAAATGCAAAATGCATGAGGAAAAAATTAGACCAAGCAAGCTCCTGTAATTACGAATCATAACAACGACCGGTAAAACCGTTGCATGTACGATCAACGAAAACCACTACTATACATTCTTCCTCTCCTTCAACCAACTATTCCCCTTTCCAAGTCATTTTAATTAAAAGTGATCCATCCAAACATTTCTCCGGCCACCTCAAACACACAAAATGGACATTTCAGTCGGAAACTTCGACGCATCCGACCCCGTCAACGGGGACGTGGTCTGCCCGTCGGCAAACAGCGTCGTTTCCACCGTCCAGGACTCCCACTCTCCGTCCGTCGTCGCCCCACCAGACGCGACCCTCGGCCGCCACCTCGCCCACCGGCTTGTGGAGATCGGGATCAGAGACGTCTTCTCCGTGCCGGGCGACTTCAACCTCACTCTCCTCGACCACCTCATCGCCGAGCCTTCCCTCAACAATGTCGGGTGCTGTAATGAACTGAACGCCGGGTACGCGGCCGACGGGTACGCGAGGCAGCGTGGGGTCGGCGCGTGCGTGGTGACGTTCACTGTGGGCGGGCTGAGCGTGCTGAATGCCATCGCCGGCGCGTACAGCGAGAACCTGCCGGTGATATGTATTGTTGGTGGGCCGAATACGAATGATTATGGAACAAATAGGATTTTGCATCACACCATTGGATTGCCTGATTTTACGCAAGAGTTGAGGTGTTTCCAGACTGTTACTTGCTACCAGGTACTCCCCCATCCAAGGTTTTAAGTACTTGTCATCCCTGGTGAATTAATGATAGTCTAGAATTAGAGGTGGATTATACGGAGTAAATGATTAGTCCACATCCGTCAATTCGGGACTGACGTTTACAATCTCAGAAACACGGATCTGACATTTCAATATAGTGACTAATTGAAGGATTAAAAGTGAGATTTTAATACTATGGTATAATAGGGAAAAACACTACAAACGAGAACACGATTTGTTTTTTAATACTCTCCAAGGTGTGATGATTATGCTTATGTAAAAAGATAGATTTTTGGTTATTGTTATATCAGGCGTTGATAAATAACTTGGATGATGCACATGAACAAATTGATAAAGCAATATCCACAGCTTTGAAAGAAAGCAAACCCGTTTATCTCAGCATAAGTTGCAACCTTCCTGGCATCCCTCATCCCACTTTGACCAGAGAGCCCATCCCATTTTCCCTCTCACCCAGGTATAAAACTACCTACTATTCCCTCCACTTTCTTTTAGAAGTTGTTCTGTTCTGTTTTGATCTGAATAAAATAAGAATAAGACGAACATATAACAGCTTCTTAGTTGTTCCACTCCTTCACAAGAAAGTTAGAACCATCATTTACTTTGCTTCTGAAATTACAGACTGAGCAATAAGTTGGGAACAGAAGCTGCAGTGGAGGCAGCAGCTGCCTTCCTAAACAAAGCAGTGAAGCCAGTAATGGTGGGAGGGCCGAAGCTGAGAGTGTCCAAGGCATCTGATTCTTTTGTGGAGCTTGCTGATGCCAGTGGCTATGCCATGGCAGTCATGCCCTCTGCGAAAGGGTTAGTCCCAGAGCAACACCCTCGGTTCATCGGCACATATTGGGGTGCAGTGAGCACTGCATTCTGCGGAGAAATCGTCGAATCCGCAGACGCATACTTGTTTGCGGGTCCCATCTTCAACGACTACAGCTCTGTGGGCTACTCCCTGTTACTCAAGAAGGAGAAGGCCATCGTTGTTCAGCCTGACAGAGTTGTCATTGCAAACGGGCCATCTTTCGGGTGCGTACTAATGAAGGATTTCCTAAGGGAGTTGGCGAAAAAGGTGAACAAAAACACAACTGCTTATGAGAACTATAGGAGGATCCATATACCCGAAGGCGTCCCTCTCAAGTCAAAGCCCAATGAACCTCTACGGGTCAATGTCATGTTCCAACACATCCAAAAGATGTTATCAGCTGAAACAGCCGTGATTGCTGAGACAGGTGATTCATGGTTCAACTGTCAAAAGTTACGGTTGCCAACTGGTTGCGGGTACGAATTCCAGATGCAGTATGGATCTATTGGATGGTCTGTTGGTGCCACCTTAGGATATGCACAATCCACACCTAATACAAGGGTGATTGCCTGTATAGGAGATGGCAGTTTCCAGGTACATATGATAAACCCTCAGTAGACTAAGAGGTTAATCAAGTGTAGTACTTCTCTATATGTATTACTTTTATGCCAGGCACTTATATATGTACGGAGTATTACTTTTCTTCTTTTAAAAAGCACTAAATCTTTGAATAAACCATCCTAAAATCCTAAAACACACTTTAAGGCAACAAACATAATTTATTAAGAAAAGGAAACAACCACTTAAATGAGAAGGCATTTCATTAAACAATGGTTGATCAAGGTAGGAAAGTGCAGGACTGAAATTTCATCACCCTAGACTTAACCCTCAAAAGTTCAGTGTTATAGTGATTCTGTAATTAACAAAGATGTTGGTAAATTTATGAATCAAAGGTGACAGCTCAAGATGTGTCAACAATGATACAATGTGGGCACAAGTCAATCATATTCTTGATCAACAATGGTGGGTACACAATTGAGGTTGAAATCCATGACGGGCCATACAACGTGATCAAGAACTGGAACTATACAGGTCTCGTTGATGCCATTTGCAATGGCAATGGCAAATGCTGGACAACAAAGGTACCCTCAGAATCATGGCTAATTACTATAATCACAGGTTGGTTATAATCATGGCAAGTATAATTATACGTGCAGGTGCATACAGAAGAGGACCTCATAGACGCAATCGATAAAGCAATGGGGGAAATGGCAGATTGTCTGTGTTTTATAGAAGTAATAGTTCACAAGGATGACACCAGCAAAGAGCTTCTTGAATGGGGCTCCCGAGTAGCTTCGGCTAACAGCCGCCCTCCCAATCCTCAGTGACCAAATACTTGTCCCTTTTCTAGGCTTTTTATAGGGTGGGCATTTTAGTTCAGACTAAGGCTTAATGTAATAAACTTTATTTCATAGGGGTGTGAGCATTTTGGTTCGTAGTGATCAAACAATGTCATTTCATTCTTTCAATGGTAAATTTCTACACTATTCTGCTCTAATAGAGGATCATCTTGACCAAGGGACGGAAACTTAATTATATTATATCTAAGGAGTACTAACACGAACCAAAATCAAATAAAAACCCTTAATAATGGACGCATGCATTAACAATTGCTTTTGATAATCTTACTATGAAAAATATAAATGGAAATTTTTGTTTTTTCTCATCTTTTCTATTATTTCACTTTTTTTTGCTAAAACATACTCCCTTTGTCCTTAAAACTATGCCAAGACTGAGTGGTACGGGAAATAACAAAATAAAATTGCATCGTTGAAGTTTGTGCAAAACACAAACTTTTATCAAAAAAGAAAAATAGTGTAGTGTTTTGGACAACCAAAGAATAATATATGGCATAACTATAAAGGATGAAGGAAGTAGTATAGAATATCACTTATTATCTGTGAAAATTTTTGCTTAATATATAGGTAATATGAATTATGAAATGCCAGGTGTGAAAATTATTGGACATATAGAATATCACTTAAATCATCAAAAACTTGGATCAACTAGTTATAGGTTAAATGAAAAAATAAGTACTCAAAAAATAGTCTCATGTCATGATTGGCAATATAATTTGAAGTTGTTTTTCTATTTTATACAAAACAAGAGGCCAAGAGCTTAGACTGGATCTTCAAAAAAAAATCTAGCCAGGGAAATCATCTCTTTCAAAATTAAAAAACCGAACTATCAAAGCGTATAAAGAAAAACGAGCCACCCCCAAACTCTGATCGAAATTCATGGCCAGGAGCAAGCAAAAAGTTACTACCAAGCGAGGTCGTGCTCACGACTACTTTAATGTCACCAGCCATCTTTTTTTTTTTTTGGAGGAAGCCATCTTGTGTTATGCATCTCACTTTATTTATTGTAATCTTGTTGACTTAAACTATATATGAAATTTAGAGTTTATTGATATCTTGATATATGAATTAAATCATGTGTAATCATAGGACTGATTTTGATGTAGAATTGTTACAAAATAGGAGTAGATTCGAAATTCCAAAATTGGAATAATATGACCAACAGTTATGGGCGGCCCGGTTCCGGTCTAACCGGACCAGACCGCCACTATGCGGAACCGGACCAGCCTGGTGAACCGGGACCGGTTCCGGGCCTAGGACTGGCCCGGGGTGTTTGTGGGGGACAGTTCCGGGCTGCACCTTCTTTGGAATAGGCCGGGCCCGGTCCAGACCCATAATTTTTTTGTTTTTCAAAAAAAAAAATCGGTGGTAGGCGGGTTGGGTTGGGTTGGGTGTTTTGAGGGGGTTTGGAGGGGGGGGAGCGGGTTGATTAGATAAGCTATAATAAAAAAATACAAATCGGCCCGAGCACGGCCCAGTCCTGGGCCGGTTCCGGGCATGTACCCACACACAAAAAGCCCGGTTTGGACCGGCCCGGAACCAGTCCATGCCTAGTTGTAGTATTGGTGAATCTTATATTCCAAGAAAGAAATTGATGGAGTGCCCCCCAGTCCACTACTACTGCCGCAATTGGATCTTCATCAGCTACGGCTACTACCTCAAACTCATCTTCTCCGGGAACAAATCCCTGTAATACACTTCCTAACTGTACTCCCACGTTATCATCTCACACTCATCCGACCAGTGATATCACCAGACCACTTCTTATCATGCCAAACTCAATCTCAGTCGTGTCTACTAGATCAAAGAGCAATCTTGCCACACAAAATGAAATGCTCATGGTCCGGTCACCCAATGACCATTCTTACTCCAAAGAGCTGAATTCTTACACTAGAACTATAGCTCACTCTTTCTCATGCGTAAAAAATAAATTCCAGAACTGGCCTCATTCCTCCGTAGCTGGAGACCAATATTTAATAATTGAAAATCCCCTCATTTTTGCCTTTCAGTTAAAGCATCGACTATGGAATAAAAGCCCCCAATTTGGTTGCATGAAAATAGTTGGTAGACTTCATCAGGAAGGAAATGGTTTCAGCCCACACTACTAGTCACATTATTGGAATTTTGTTTTAGAGTCACTTTTGTCTTTTGGCAAGGGATGTCAAAAAAAACCCGACCCGCAGTGACCCGCCCTGGCCCGAGACATTTGGGGCGGGTCCGGCCCACCCCGTCTTCCAAATGGGGCGGGTCCGCCCCGCCCCGCCTATACAATGGGGCGGGTCCGGGTATTAGTATTGACTCATGCCGCCCCGACCCGCCCCAACCCGCTCAATACATAAGCATACATTCTTTTTCTTAAATTATACTACAAATATACTTCAACATACATATGTGTGTATACAGTAAATCATAAATTCTTTGATCTTATACTCCCTCCGTCCCCGAAAGAAGTTCCTCATTTGACTTTTACACACTTTTATGCAAGTAAACTTACCAGAGGGTAAATTTTACTGTTTTGACACTGTTTCGACACTGTTTGGCACTGTTTGACACTGTTTTGCACTGTTTTGATGTAGATAACTTTCCATTTAAGGAAATGAGAACTTAAATTAGAGACATTCAAATAAGGAAAGTGGGAACTTCTTTCGGGGACGGAGGGAGTAATATATTAATACATATATTAGAATGAGATGAATGACAGATTATCAATGTCTTCTTTATATATAACATTTTAATACATATGTTCAATTATTAGTATAATTAAATAGATTAAGTATTCAAGTCTGAGTAATTTTTCCTTAAATTTTGAAATTTTTAGGGTATCATGAATTTGATTTAATATATTAATTTTTAATTAATATTTAGATATAAACTCCCACAAATAAAAATACATACTAACTAATTAGGTTACGGCAAGGCGAATCATGGGTCAACAAGTTTGGACCCGTGCAGGTCACGAGGCGGGGCGGACCCGCCCCACCAAGTCACGGGGCGGGTCTGGGTCTTGCAGTACCCGCCCCGCCCCGACCCATTGCCATGCCTACTTTTGGCGTTTAGGGAGTAATAATAATCATAACAAAACTACATCTATATACCGGAAAGTATTCCTTTAAAAGTTTAAATGTCCAAAGCCCATATTGCGGCCCATACAAAGGATGATGTCAACTGAATAAGGAATGATTCATAAGACAGGCAATTCAAGTGACACATACAAATGAAGCTACAGCCAGAAACATTTGTGTCACACGGAGTATGCAATATGGATCGACTGGACTGTTGATGCAACTTTAAAATATACGATAGTATACAATCCACACCTAATAACTCATACATGCGTAATCGCATGTATAGAAGAATGTGGCTGCTTCAAGGTAACAGAAGAAAATAAAACTCATGTAAACTGAACAATATAATAATATCAAATGCCGGAGACAACTCACGCACCGTCTTGCATCGCAAACATCAAGTGCAACAAAACTTACACCAACAGACCACACGGTTGGAATCGCTCCAAGCATATAGTCCACCACCGCAAGTTGAACGCCATGACACTCGCATCAATAAGTGTGAAAGGGAAAAGACCGAAATAAACCACTCAGTCGACCACACCATTCTGGATGACATTTTTTCTTACCATACACTACAACTAATTCGCTTCTCCAACTGTAAAGTAATTGTGGAACACTCCCTCAAGTTTATGGTAGATAAACAGACCTTGATCATATTACATTTTAACCAGACCAGAAGGTGAACTAGAGCATACAAAGCAGTGTAGTATGGTGTTGTTTTCAAATGAGATATGGATTTTGATCACCTTAACCCCAGAAGTATATCAAAAACCGAAAAACCAAAACCGACCAACAAACCGACCAAATCCAAACCAACTAAAACCAAAGCCAACTCAAACCGAAACCGACCAAAACCGATTAACCATTGACAATTTGGTTTACGGTTTCACCTTATCAGTTAAAAAACCGACCAAACCAAAACCAACCAACAAAAACATGATAAAACCAAGTGAAACCAACAAAACCAAACAAAATCAACCGAGCAAAAACAAATACATGTGGTGTGGTTCGTTTTCAGTTTCACTTTTTCTAAAACCGAAACTGATAAAATCAAAACTGACAAAACCAAACCGATGAACACATCTAATCAAAGGTAAAAAAAAGTTGTTTACTTGTCTTACCCATATTAAAAAATCTAAATGAAACAAAATACTCAAAACTGTTTCAATCCTTCCCAAACCTGTTTCAAACGAAACCCAAAACTGGAACACAAAAACAGAGAGGCCAAGACACTTATCCTTGGAAGGAAACCTTGGTAAAAATAAACGTAAAAACTTAGAATCAGTAAGAATTCGAACTCTACCAAAGGACCAAAGGACCAAAGGACTTTGATACTATCAATCAAATTACGCAATCACACATGTAAAACAAAAACAATTTGATCGATATAGCATTCCACAGATAAATTTCCATGCTATAAAGAAAGAGGATTTAGAATAACAATGGATAGTCAGCAAACACGCTACATATGAATGAAACACCAAAGTGTAATTTCATTATATAGTCGAAAATTGGAATGTCAATAGTCCTACAAAACAGGCGTAACATTGTGAAGGAAAACAGAGAAGCAACAGAGATCAACGTAAGATGCAGATGATACGAGGTCAAAGACGTAAATCTACTTGGATCTCTGTCTCATCTTTCGGCGCTTCCTCTTGAGCCTCCTCATACGCTTCTTCTTCCACTGAAGAATTCATTCAACAAAAAAGCAGCAAACAAAAAGTTCAGGAATAAAATACAGGAGATATTCATGACGATTATCATCAGTAGAGCGAAAGCTATACAAATAGAATTGATTAAATACCTTGGCTCTCATGCTGGAGTGTTTTGTTTGCTTTCACAGAGAAACTTGATTCTTAGCCGCCGATACAAAAACGTCTGAAGAGGTGATTCGGAAGTGAGGGACCATTATAAAGGAAGATGGAAAACCTAGTAGACTGGTTTCAATGGGCTACGCTGGGCTGGGCTGGGCTTCTATACGTATAAGTTGGAAATTGTATTCCATTTATTTCTATATATAAATTACGGGTGGGATAAATTGAAACGAAACCCGGAATCCGACCGTAGCCCAAACCGAAAAATGTGATTGG